AATGATGCTGAATAAACTGTAATATCGCGGCAGTGATGAAGTGAGACACGGAGCACTTCCACAAGGAGGCGGTACTGTTCAAAACTCTTCTTTATAAAATAAGAGCAATTTCCAAATAGACTCACCACGTACCCGCCAGCACGCCTCTAATATCTTCAACATACTCAAGCATCCACTGGAACAGCAACAGGTTTGCCGAATGCAAAGCGATGTGTAAGGGAGTTTCACCTGAAATCAACCAAGCCGTTTCCCTTATAACTAAGAATATTACGCAAAAATTGAAGAATACCCGTTTCGTTCTTCGATTCCACATTTCCGCCGTACTTCATGATCGACTCAAAACACTGCCGGTATTCCTGCTCAGTCATGCCATCCTGCCGGCCATCTTTGGGATCACGAAGACGAATTTTAATGCCGGCAAACACGTGCATTATTGAGTTCCCCATACTGTCCGCTATTGAGCAGTCTGCTCCACTAAATGACGATCCTTCAGTAAAGGGTCAGCTTGACGTAATTGCATAACCTGTTGACCTACCGTGACAGCAGGTACTGTATTTGTTCAGGCAATTCACTGTGCGTTTCCTCGTTAGCATAGCGAAGCAGCGAAGAGAGCAGTGTAACTCCTTCCATGTCCTTTCCGTTGATGTCAACCAAGGAAGCCTTCTCTTCAAGTAGCCACCGAACGATACCGTAGTGACCTAAACAATCTGTCCTAAAGCAACACTCCAGATCGAATTTGTGGGGTCACAGCGGTTGATAATGAAGTTGTGGATGCCGAGTTGACTAAAATGAAAAAAGAAGCAAAGAAAACCGTCGATGAAGCCCAAAAAATTCCCTTGAAAAAGGAAGGGGCGGGGCCGGACGAGTTGTCGAACTTGCCTGCTCCACGGCTCAACTAACCCGCGCGTTTTAGCCGCTACGCCGTAATCCACGTTGCGTGTCATGGGGTGTGCGCTACGTAACTCGTCCAAATGCTAAGATTAGTCGCCAAATGCTGACTTTGTAAGACCCTAGCGCCATTGCCGCGCACTTTCGAGCCGTACAGGCTTTTCTGCGCTCGTGGGCTACACTAACCCACCCACTGAATAGACTCTTCGACCTGTCTTCTGCTGGAAAAGTTGCATTAAATGCCATCCTTTTCAAAAAAAACCCATTGAGTCAAGGACCCTAGAATATGCTCCTGGGGCAGAGTCAACCTGCGTTGCGCAGTTCGCAACGGCACGAGAGATCCTCAACGCACGCTGTATGGGCGGAGACACAGACGGCTCGAGCATGCGAGTGTGAATGTTCGCGCGAGAGAACGTGTCTAATCGGGCGAAACTGCGCAACGTGGCCGTTGAAAACTGCGCAACGCAGGGTTGACTCTGGTTCCAACTCACACTTACAACATACTCAAAATGCAGAGCTCCACTGTTGTAGCAAAGCGCGCTATGAATTTCGTGACAGACGGATGCACACATACACACAGACAGCGCTTCATATTATGTAGTAGGGACATTCCTCAAAAACACCGTTACTTTGATTTGTATGTGTGAAGTAAGAGTTCGTGTTTAGCCCACTTAAGAGTGAGTCATTTGTGCATTCCGTGTTTGCCATTAAGCAGTCGTTTTGGAGTGGTATGCTGTAAAGTAGCGCTGGCGTTGTAGAAGGTCGAAGTTGTGTGGAAGGTGACAAAGTAGGAAGCAAATCAGCCACCTCATCCTTTAACGACCTGTTTCTTGATACGGCATTTAGCAAGATCAAATGTAAACAGCAATAGCATCCTTTGTTCTACGCATCCGAGCCAGTCGTGCTTTCGCGTGCGGTTTATCTGAGGATCCCACTTCTTGACACCACCAACAAAGTTGGCGGATCAAGCGAGAGACGGGCGGCAAATCAAAATGTCCTTGCAAAATTTTATGGTCTCAATAGCCTGTGGTCAGTCAGATCACAAAATATCCTTTCGCCATAATTTCACTTCTTTTCGAGGCGATATTGAGGAGCGGCCAATGTACTCTGATAACTATTTCGAACATTCCTTGTCACTTTTGTGACCATTTATTCAATTCAGTCTTGTGAAATCTGGAGCATATGGATGCGGATACTCTTCTCATTCATGGCAGTCTCAAAACTACGTTCTACTAGACAAACTTCTCCTACCAACGCCTCAGTTCTAACCCCAAAAAAAAACTAGTCAACAGCCACGATCAGCGGTTACTAATTATTGTTTCACTCGGGAATAAGAAATCGAGCAAAAGCTAGCAAGAAGCGGAAAAAAGTCCACTTAAAAAGAGAAGAAAAAGCGGCGCTATCGCAAGAATACAGGGGCACTGTAGTGGCAATGCAAATGAAATTGTGTACATGTCCTTGTTGTCAAAATGGGACCAAGGCTTATTCAGGGGAGGAGAGACGCCAGGGAGCGCCAGCCATTTTCATTCTCTACGGAATTTCTACCCGTCTTACAACGAAATGCCTATGAAGGCGACGTCTGTGCATCAGCGGGTATGCACGCCCGTAATGCAGCTTGTGTCAAGTGTCAGTCATGCACAGAAATCGGCGCCAATGCATCAATAGTACTCTATCGAGGGTTAAAAGGGCCGCACGTCCCATGGAAAATGTAGCCACGTACAAAACCCATCGCCCGCCGATCAGCTGCACAAACATAAGTGGCTCTCCATGCCGCGCCTTGCCACTGTACATATCGGCTTGACCAAGCAGTAACCGCGCTGACGTTGCACTTGTGCATTCGCCCCAAGCGCCTACCTTTTAACCATCAGATTATTATTTACGGCCAATAATGCATTCTATCGTGGTTCTTGATTTTATGGTTGTTGCTGTATCATTTCTTTCCTTTTCCCATCGTTGCCAGAAATCATCTACTCAGTTCATTTTTGTCATTAGCATTAGTCCACAAAGAGCACCCTCAAGATGAAACATAGGCTCAGAGATTTGACCCTCTGCGTACCTTCAGAATTGGGACAATCCATCAAGTAGGAGCTTACGTAGCTATATGTACAACTGTTACAGTTCATTGAAAACTCCTTGGAATTCTAAAACCCCTAGGTAGCTCGTTTCTTTTTAGGCCATCTCTCTAAAACCAGTTAGGAAGTTGGGTAATTGCCAGCAGGAGTGGGAATCGTTTTTGTGATTTTCAGAAGAGATGTCATATTGGAGGCTTATAACCCCCTCCAATGCTCAGCTGCAACTGGACTTTTCGAGAGGTTTCGATGTGAAGTTGGGATGTCTCAATTGATGGCTGATTCAATGAAACTCAATACTATCGACCGTTGGAAGGAAAGGAGAGGGGTTGTGATGAATTCCCTTGAACAATCGTCCCGATTTGGGAATATTTCCCAACGTGGCGATTGACCCTGTCCCTAGGGCTCACATCGTTGGCTATTCAGTAGTTTTCATACGCCTACATGACCCTGGGACGATTTTTCATTTATTCCAATTCACTTGTTGTTAACTTAAAATTGAACTGTTTCACTCGCAGATAATTTCCATTAGGCACAGGACCCAGGTGGCACGAGCTTCCTGAAAGATGATTCTTCCATCACTCAGCTTTCTCGTTTTTGCCTTGCAACATGGACTTGCTAAGCATAGCGTCCAGGAAAAGGAGGACATTACTGAGCTGTACATAACAGTCTCCATGGAATTGATAAAGGCGATGGACGGCACAGGTGCTGATCCTACATGAGGTGAATGCATTTTCCACTACTTATACGAGCTCTTGGCGTCCAACCCACGATCAGAACAATATTTCAATGCTTAAGTGCGAGCGTAGAAAGAAGTTCGTTCAATGGGTGATTACCATTAACCCACTGTCACAGGTTATTTGCGAGCTACTTTCAGTGCTGATGTAGAAGTGGGGTGGTTTCCTGCAATCAATGTTTTTGAACTCGATTTCCTTTCAAAATGAATTTATCCAATATCATGACTTACAGAGAGAAGTTGACGTGAAAGTTACCCTCGCAGCTGGTTATTCTCGCAGACAATTCTTACACCACGTAGCTGACTTGAAAATTTCTAGGCTGGATTGCAACACAAATTCATCCATGAGCCGTACCAAGTTGGTCAGAGAGGAAAATGTAAGAGGAAGTGGTAGGTATGGAAGGAGACTCACCCATTCCTCTCCCTCTCTTCCACTCACCCATGCTAAAGCCCTTCTCCAAATAGTATCGATGGCCTTCTAGATCTCATACGTACTGATCATGGTGAGCAAAAAAATATCTTATCCTACTATATATAATCGGCTAAGCGGTTGTGCGTGTGTGTGTATGTACAGTCGAGATCCGTAAGTTGGGGTAGGCGTGTCACCGGAAGTGACGTGGACTTGATAGAAGTTGCGTAGGATAAGTCGTTGCCAGCATGCTTTGCTGATATCTCGCGATGTATATTGGAAGCCCCTTATCCACATAGATTCTATCAAGTACACGTCACTTCCGGTGACACGCCTACCCCAACTTACGGATCTCGAGTATATGTGTTTGTCTGTCTGACCGGAAATTCATAGCTCGGGCACCAGTGGTCGTCAGGAGTTGGTTTCAAGATATGATATAGGGGGTGGGACGGGAACATATTTGGTGGGGTACAGAAAGTGATCACAACTGATAAGGGCTGATAAAAGGCGCTAGAACGCAAGTGTCGCGAAATTCATAGCTCGGGCACCAGTGGTCGTCAGGAGTTGGTTTCAGGATATGATATAGGGGGTGGGACGGAACATATTTGGTGGGGGTCAAAGTGATAACGACTGATGAGGACTGATAGTACGATATGCGTACGAACGTAGAGAGCACTTGAAATAGAAAATAGAGAGCAGATTGTAGATAATGCCTTTCATTTCAATATCATTTCATCAGCGTTGTAATTGTAAACTCAAACACCTTTCGACCGCTACACCTTCTAGAGTTCTTGAGGATGAATGGGATGCTCGAATAAATATGATGATGAATACTGGTTCGGGGGGAAATGTGTCTGAGATATAGTTGCGACCCTACCTTTTGAAGCGATAACAACCTTTACAGAAGATTTCTCACAATGTTATTCGTCGCACAGTCACTTTGGTATAGCGGACTCTAATTCTGTTCATATTGAAGAAAATTCTTCCAAAACCTTCTCTTACGGGCATTGTTGAGAGATGGCAGGTATACACCCGTCCTACGATTAGACAGAATAGTTTGGGCATCTGATGGTGAGATGACATTTTAGTGCGGAACTGGAGATCTCGTATTTTGTGGAATCCAGTCCTGAAAAAAATCGACCCTACAGAATACCAGTGTATTTCTTCAGTCTTTGATAGAAGTTTGAAAACTCATAAATTTGATCAAGATGGAGTTTCAAATAGTTTTTTGTTTGAGTCTTCAATTTTATTGAGAACGAATTTCTCAATGATAATGACTATGTCGGTAGTTTTTTCTGGATTCTCTTGTAACTTCCGAATATGTATCGATTCAGCAGTCGATCAAGGAGACGACTGGCCTGATATGGCCAGGCAGTTACAGTAACTGTAATACATGTTGATGAAATGAATGACCAAATTCAATTGGAGGAATTCTTGACGAGGCCGTATTCATTTCACTATTGGAATTATTGGAAAGGGAGATTTGTAGTGTAGGAGAGGGGGGGGGGTGGTCCAGTATTCAAAAAATGGCCACGTTGAGGATTTTTGCAAAATTAACGAGGAAAATTCGTGATGAGTGCGAGTTTTTACGCTTTCCAAAGCCATAACTCCGTTCAAACTCATGCAATCTGGAAAGTTAATACGTCATCATAAACTAGAAGATTTGCTCTATCTAAGGCAACTAAAACTGCTAAATACGTTCACTATTTAAAAAATGGCCACGTTGAGGATTTTTGCCCGAGTACCGCCGAAAGGTACTTTTTCTGCTAGCAAAGCTGCTTTAGCAACCATTTGATAGAGAAAATCTTCTAGTTTTGTCTGCCGTATTAACTTTTCAGATTTGACGAAAATGAAGCAAGTTATGGCTTCGGAAAGTGTAAAAACTCGTGCTCATCATGAATTTTCCTCGTTAATTGATCTAAATTTGTTATTTCTTATAAATTTTGTAATTTCAATACTGATTAGAAAGAGCTCTTCACAAAACTCCCAAATCTGCTTTCAGATTGAAAATTCGTCATATTTGAAGAAAGTTATAATCATTTGAATATTTGTTCAAATTTCAATAGTAAATAAGCTGCTCCACGGTCAACGCCAAAATCAGTCAACACACAGCTGGCGAAGGCGGTTACAAGGCTTCTTCAACCGAAAGGGGGACGTGTAGATTGAGAGCCAGGCTCT